ATATCGGTCACATGTTTTATAGTCATGCTCAGTGTTGGCTTCATTTAATCAACTTCACAGTTGGTTTCCATTACTGAGCACATGCTGCTTTCGGCAGCAGTTTAATGAGACAATGTATTTAATGAAAATTCTTTGTATGCAGATGTAGGACAAGGGGCTTTTTTCCCCCATGATGATTGTGGAAAAAAAAAACTGTGTCTTGTATTTGGGTAAATATGGTACAAAATGGAATGGAATCTGACTCAGTTGCTCTTAGTTGTATTGGCTTTCAAGTTTTTACAGGAGTAAGATAATGTAAAGATACCTATTTATTAGAGCTGCGCAAAATAGTAGCATTCTGCTTCAACATTCGTTTCAACAGAACAGTGTTTTGTTTTGAGTTTTGTTTCATTTCGAAAGCACTGCTTTGTTCCGTCTAAACCGTTTCCTGGTTCAACGCTGTGTTGATGTTTCAATCGGGCCAGTGCTGAGTTCCTTTCCCCAGCCTGATCACAGCGCTGGGGAGGCGAACTCAGCCAAACTGAGTGGAACTCAGCAGCCCCGTGGAACATAGCCCCGTGGAACTCAGCCTGGTGGCAGAAGGCAGAGTGCAGTGCTGGCTCTGCCTGCTTTCCACCACTGGGCTGAGCTCCATGCAGCTGGTGGAGCCGAACATAGCGCAACCCGGCAGGAAGCAAGCAGATCCAGCGCTGTGCTCCCATTGGCTCCACCAGCCCCACCAAGTACAGCCTGGCCGCAGGAGGTGGGGAGAGCCAGGGCTGCGCTCCCCGGTGGGCTGAGCCACATGGGGCTGTGGAACTGCTGGGAGTGCAACCCTGGTTCTCCCCTGTCTCCCACCACCTGGTTGGCTGCTTCAAAACTCAAAACATTTTGAAACTTTCAAAATGTTTCAGCTGCCCTCGTTTTGTTTTAAGGCTGTTTCAAAGCCCTTTGTTTCATTTCCATTTCACTGTTTTGAGCTCAAAATGACTCAAAACAGTGTTAAAACGAAACAGCCGGCAAAACTTCACACAGGCCTACTATTTATGTGTCTCTCATATATATATATATAATGTATGTATGCATGCATGTATATAATGATTGAACACAGGTCAGAAGGAGGTCATCTGAGAAACAAGGCACCATTTTTATAGCAACTTTCTACAATTAAACTGTATTATAAGCATGATCCAAATCATACTAAGCAACTGTTAAGCTTTGTTTTCCCCACTTAGGTCTTTTTCCTTTTATTAGGAGCATTCTCTTAATTTCCAACATTCTCATTACTGCAGATTCAGCTTCCCTAGGGCTCCTTTTCCTGTTCATCATTAAGTGCTTATGAATTTAACATTCCTCCTATGTATTACACAGAATCAAGACTTAACTGGGTACCTGGATACTGCTACCTTGGGGAAGCGTTATATCAAACAATATCACTGAAATAGCAACAGTGATTTCCTGGGTATTATTTATCAATGTATAGTACAAAATTATAGATGGCCAATATACGAAATACAGATAGCAACAAATGCCAAAGAATCTGAAAGTTAGGCTAGATATTTCTGTCTAATAGTATTAATCTGGATAGTTGGAAGTATTAGAAAAAAGGCAGTATCCATTAATAGAATCTGATTTTCTAACATTAATATCTTAATTATTTCAGACTTTAAAGAGTTTACATTTCTGTAGCCTCCCGTGCCATTCACCTGCGCATCAAGTATGTGGGGTCCTCTCTGACTTTGCTGTTGCTTTAGGGAAGAAACAGGTCTGTTATTAGGAGGACTTTGGTCGGTCTCCCAGGGGGGGGTCTCGCCTGTCACGTCTTTGATAGAAAAATAATTTTAATTGGGAGGAAGGTGGTCTGTCCTGTCCCTCCTGGTGCCTTCCTTCAGTCGTCCCAGTTGTTCTTCCTGTTTGGGGCTCCCCCTCCCCTACACCCCGCCTAACGCCAACCAAAGATGTCATCACATGGACCGTCAGAATTGGTATACCATGTACCTTGGTGCTTCAACCCTTTAAATTTATGACAGTAGGATCAGAACATTGTTTTGACCTAAGTGCTCCCCACCATCCCTTTGCCTCATCTATGCATCTTCCTGATCCGATGCCATCCTGTCCCCCAGCATCTCACTCCCTACTTGGGCTTTATACTTGCCGTGGGTCAGTCATTTATTAATCCTTGCCCTAGTTAGTCCTGCTGGAATCCAGTCTACGCTGTGGATGTCCAGTATCCACGAGGACTGTGCAGGTAAGTCCTTGGGCCCTCTCTAGCCCTCAGTCCCTACAAAAGTCCCTTCCCTGGCAGCCACCAGGTCCCTGTACTGGGACCAGGTTCCAGATCTGGCCCTTCTGGGCTGGTCGGGGACCTCACTTCTGGCCCTCCCGGCTGGTCTCCCACCGGACTTTTTATCCTGGCTTCAGGGGTTGAGGCAACCAATCAGCCCTGGCACACTGCCATAAAGTGCACCCATGCCAAAGTGGGAGCCAGTCCTGGCTCCTTCTGGCTTGGCCATTTCTTTTCCTCTTTTCTTTTTACTGCAACATCTCTGCCTGCCGCAGTTTCACTTTCACCGTGCTCCGTTTCCAGCACGGCATCCTGCTGGCTCCACTCCTCGCCTGGCAGAGGTAAGTCTTTTCCACAATTTCCATTAAAAAAGCAGATTTTTTTAAATTGTAGACATAAATATATAAATCAAACTTTGAGGTGAATAATTTGTATCTGATCCACAAACTAATGTTAGTTAAATAACTCATTGTTCATTCCAAACTTAAATTATCAAATTATTAACTCAGAGTCCAGTCATACAAGACAGAGTACCATATATACCCATATAAGACCAGTTCCTCCAAAACTGCGTGATAGATGTAGGAGTAGAAGTGGTCATAAAAACTAGTAGAATATTACACAGAAAATTTACAAAATATTTTGTTTCAAATATTCAAAAAGTGTTTATATTTTTGATAGAAGTTTTCAACAAGAAAACAAAGGAAAACAAACCCCGGCCCACAACCAACAAGCTCAGATGAATTTTTTCACAGTTTTTCCCCAGTCAGCTTTCTGACAAAATGTTTACTGGAAAAAGATAAATTAAAGCTACCAATGAAAGCTTAACATTTGGAAAAATTAAACCAGTTATAAGATGAATCTATTGTGCAATGGTCTGTACACGGATCTGGGATGCAAACAGACTTGCTCTCTTATCTGGCTTTCATACTCTTCATGATTTCAAATTAGTCATGACCTCTCCACCTCTGTCTTTTCACCTTTGGAATAAGGATAAAAAAATATTTCTGTAGCTCATACAAGTGAAAGTTTCATGAAGATTAATCTGTTAATAGTTAAAGATGAAAGCTGCAAGGTGAAATATAAAAGTATCTTTTGTATTGTATTATATTGTCTATTTTAGTATGTTTATCAGTTTTCCAGAAAAGAATGAATGAGGAAAACTTTTTTACCTTGCTATCAGGGAACATAAGAAAAAAGTAGAGTTTTTCTTCAATCACTTTTGTCTAAATTAATATGAAACTAAAAGAGATTTAAATATAATGAAATTGAGCATAATATACAATAAACAGCATTCTGATCTCCGAAGCATAACAGAATAATAAATTCTACCTGTTACCAGCTTCCTTTTTGATTGTACTGCCCTCTGAACAAAAGCAAAATGGGATTAATTACACAATGTTTGTTAAATGTTATGATGAAGCAGGTCAGGATACTGTATATACACGTCCACTGGCATAGATGATATCAGCCACTGTTTGAAACAGGGTACTGGAGTAAACAGACCTTGAGTCCAATCCATAATGTCAGTTGTGTTAAGTGTTACTTAAGTGTTAAGTACTATGTAATTAGAATTGAAGTAATTGATAAGTATTTGTATAATACAAATAAAAGTAAAAATAAGAAGAGATGTTCAGATTAAAACCCACTTTTAGTCCTAGTGGAGTTAAATGAGAAAATCCTTTGATTTCTTTGAGCATAGAATTTGTGCATTCCAAGCTATGGAATATTTTCAATTTACTGTTTTCCACAGCAAAGATATAGTTCTGACATCCCCCAAAATTAAGAAAACACTCATTTCTGGAGAAAACAAATGTAAAAGGTCACAATTTTAAGCAAAAAAAAACAACCCTCTAGTTTTTCAAATAAAATTATATAGAATTTTTTAAATCCAAGTCATGTTTTCAGACTCAGATTCACTAGGCTTGAAGAAACATGACTCTATGAAAAACCTGAGAAAAAAATCTTATTCAATAGCAACCTTCCCAGTGGTACAAAGAGCAGAATTTGTTATGAAACAAACCTAAATCACTTCTTCATCACAGAAGTTACAGCTGTGACAAATTTACAGTATTATGGCTGCATATATATGTTCAAATAATCTGGGAAAATTCTCCCAAGCTTGTTTTCTTGGGAGCAAAACTTACCCAGAGATGCCTGAAAAGATATTTGAATGATGACTCCTGAAGACCAGAGAGCTTGCAGTCTTGACATGAATACCCTGTGCACACATCTCAGCATGTTCTGCAAGATCCCTCAGTCTGCCTGGGCATAGATGGCAGCAGTGCAGAGTGAAGCCATGATTAGGTGACCCAGACCACTCAGGTCAACCAGTGTCTCCCTACTACACAATGTGGGGATGACAAAGGGAGTGTGTTCTTCTCAGCTTGATCAGTAGATTTCAGCAAGCAACACACTATCACTTGGGGGAAGAACGGGCCTGAACAAAGTACCATGGGATGCTGAAGAACTGTTCTGTGGCTTCTCTCAGAAGAGAATGTGTACAGACATTCACTGTCCCAGAAGAAACTCCCCCAGGAGTGATTTAACCCTGGTTGTTTCCAGGTAATTTTTCCTCCCAGAGTGGCCATTTTTACTATGGCAGAAAAATCCTGGGCATCTGTACACTAGTGTTTTCTCCTGGGACAGCAGTGACTGCGTATGTGGCCTTTTAAAATTCTAATATATTGGTAACCTACATAAAAAAAAAAAAAAAAAATGTTCACTGACTACCTACTTGAATGATTCCTCCTAAAAATGAAACTGCTGCAGCAACTCCAATCCTCTTCATTTCAAATTCTGATAAACCCAAGACTCCTGAATTGTTACTTGTAGTGAAATTATTGCTGCTCGGAGGAACTAGACGTTCAACTGCATTGGCAGATATCAAGGAAGTTAAAGCAAACGTTCCTGAAAAAGAAAGTTCACATAGTAGTTACCAATAAGTTCACACTCTCACTCTCACTGCGATATAGATTTATTATTAAAGCCACATTTCCAAAGCACAGCCTCTTAGTGACTGTGAAATGTTATACATTCAGTTACTGCAAGTGCAGTTTAAAAGTACCATCACCTGTGAAATGCAAATATCTACATATAGAATCGTATTTGATTTTTGTCAGTAAATTCGCACAAAGTAACAGGATTCAAAATTGCTCAAGCAAGTGATCTGTTTGCATGCACACATACACAAATAAGGGTGCTTTCTCTCAGTATCTGATAGACTCCAAGGGAGAAAAACAAGGCCCTCAAGTACCTAAGAGAATGCAATGTCCCATCAATATTTGTGTTACAGAGCTCTTCTCCTTCTGTGCCTCATTTGAGAATCCAGACAACTGGAAACCAGAAACCACCAAATGGAAGAACTGTAAATGTATCCCTAGACTTCAGAACTAGAATTTCAGTAAATACTGCAAGGTGCTTGTAAGTGCAAAAGTCATATTATGGCAATTGACAATGACAGTTAGCTACCTTGAACTGCAAACTAATAGACTAGATAAGAAAGTGCAAGGTCAGTGTAAAAGAATTCAGTGTCCTTAAAGAATACTGGTATTGTTTGCCCCCCTTTTCAAGCATCTTGAGCAGAGATAGCATATATCAGTCAATCCTTGCTGGGTCCATAAGGGCCTCTTTTATAGAGACTCTCTCTGGTAGGGAGAAATACCTGAAGTATATTTACTAGATTATGTGATGGCTCATCCACATCCTCACAGGGATTTACAGTGCCTGGGTAACCCACTTTATGCCATCTGTGAAACATCTAAATCAACTTGCTGAAATGCTGTCAGGGAATGAACAGCATCATCTGGAAAGGAAGAGCAGAGCAGATTGGCATCAGGCAGCTTTTCCATCTTAGAATTTAGATGAGATAGAAAATATGAATCATGAGAAACATGATTTATGAGGAAAGACTGAATGACCTAGAAAGACCTAATCTGGAGAAGATAAAACTGATGCTGGTTCTAAAGAAGATGGAGATGGAGTATTCTCTGTGGCTGCAAGGGACAGAACTAGGAGCAACGGTCTTAAACTGCTGTAGGGATTTTTAGGTTAACTATTAGAAACAACTTTTTCAACGTGTTGGTAGTTGAGCATCAGAACAGGCTACCTAGAGATTTTGTGGTATTTCCATCCTTTTTAAGAGCAGGTTAAGATAGTCACTTTATTGGGATGAGTTAGTCAGAGATGATCCTGCCTTGAGGAGGGGGTTGGACTAGATGGGGGTGGCCAGTTTGCTGCAAGGATGTCACAGGTGGCATGGGCAAATGCTGTGTGTGGCATGCAAGCTCTGGGCACTCAATAAAGGGAGACACCAGAACAGAGACAAGGGCTGCTTGAGCCTCTGGGCTACATGGAGCAGAGGAGGATCAAGCCACTTCTGTGAGAGGAAATACCACTGCAGAGAGTCCTGCACTCTGAAACTGGAGGCCAACCCCATGATTTATCCAGGAAGTAGGCTTGGAGCCTAAATTCAGGCTCTTTTCTTGTCTGGAAGGTGAAAGATCTATTTCCACAGAGTATGATACTAAGACTGAATATGTCCATCTGTAATGGACACGGTTTAAATCCTAGAGATCTGAAGGAAGCCGGGATGATGGTCAGGAAAATAAATTAAAAGGGGAATAAAAATATTACCAAAAGGAAGCCTGGAAAGTATGCGGGAATATAGGGGAGAATGGAGCCTCACTAGGTAAATCTACATGAGACATTTTACCATGCAGTAGACTAATCTACTGCACAGTAAAGCATCACAATCTACACATGGGGGGCATTTACTGAACAAAAATTATGCTACCATGCAGTTGCCTAGTACTTGTAACTACAGGTACTAGATTAACTGCACAGTAGTTACTGCGCAGTACTGCACTTGTAGATGCTGACCAAGAGCAAATTTGCTTCCAGTCAGCCTAGGCCCCAGGGGGCCACAGGAAACAGGGAGCTCTCTGTCCCCAGTCCTGGCATTGCTCAGCTCCTGGCTCTCCCCAGGAGCTGAGCTGGGAACTCTGTGTCACAACCCAAAAGGTCTGATTTTTGTTTTTGTGTGCTTCAGCACTGCTAAATTGTCCCCGCTAAATTGCAGCTTCCTTGCACGGTGGAGTTTTCTGCTGCAAAAGAGAACCCCGGTGCAAGGAACAAGTTTCCCGCCAATTTGAAGCTTTCTTTGCAGGGTGCATTTCTTTGTTGCAGCACAGAAATGCTCGTTGCAAAGAGTTCCCGCCATCTGTATGCTAATTAGAGTCCCATTATTGGCCAGTTCTAAATTATTCACACGTGGCGGCTAGTGATTGGCTTGCTAGCCGTATAAAAGGCTTGAGTGGTTTCCGCCCAAGTTGGAGGACTCCACGAACAAGGGAGGAGGAGACTTCACGCTGTGTGAAGATCTCTAAGCGCTGCGGATCCTTAC